CCTGGTCCAAAGCTTATTTATTCTATAAAGTGATAAAGTAGAGAATCATCAAAAAGCTTAAAGGGTAAGGTTTATCCAAAATTTTGTAGAAAACAAAATGGCAGAATAAGAATTAGCGTGTTGAAAATATTTTCAGGGCTAAGGGGAAGTGGTACCTCAAATGGGCCGATTTAAATTCAGATTTCTGGGACCTCAAGAGCAAAAACGTTGTCAAGTTTCTTAACATTAGTCAGAAAAATTGTAAATATTGCTAACATAAGGAAAAAATATCTCCATTTCAGGACAGACGACATGAAGCATTTTATTGCCAAAAATCAATGAAATTCGAATTATCAGTCTAGACGAGATACCTGGTTGAGATTTAAGTGCATCAGCCCGTAGTAAATGCAGGATACCTCGTGAAAACTCGAAACTTTGAGGCAAATTGTTTTCAGAAAATATAAGCTAATCGACTCAATAAAGGATCAAGCTGGATAACAAAGCGAGAGACATTTAGAGATCAAGTGTCTATTTCTGTATAAAGCATTTAAGATTTGTACCAAATTTGCTAATGATGGAGAGGTTTACGTATTGCTAAGAATTTAGGACCAAGTAAATCGGCTAAAGAAAACGCTAAAAAACTATGGGGGAGGAATAAAGTGAATTCAGAAAAAGGTGCAGAAAAAAAGCTAAACTAAAAATAAGCCGACAATGCTGGTTGACGGGAGAGAGTATAAGGTAAGTGCAAGATACTAGCCGTTCTACATAAACTTATCGGGACAATGCCATTATCAGGAAGAACGGTATTTCTTTACAGGAAGAATAACTTTCGGATACAGAAAGGATAACAATCGTCAATAATGCCTTTGAAGAAAAAAGTGAAGATTAAGAGATAAAAGAAAAAAAAGGAAAATAAATGAGATAAAAAGAAAGTATAGTATTGATGCCGACCAGAATGTACAACAAACTGCCAAATGTTTTAAGAGCCAAATAAATCCTATATTGAATTTAGAAATGAAACAATGGGGAGAAGAATAAATTAAAAAACAGAAATAAAATCAAAATATAGAATAAGACTCAGGCCTTAGGTCGCAAAGAAGCTATCGGGCAATATAATTCAATCTAAAATTAAATTAAGGGAAACTACCAGTCTAAAGACATTAATTGCAGTGGCCCATTAATAAAGATTAATGTTAAACTAAAGGATCAAATTGAGCCCTGGTTGAGTCAATAATGGAATAGGAGGCTATTAACAAATGAACTATGGTACGAGAAAAGATTGGATGAAATAACGAAAAATGGTCTTAACTGGAGAAGCTAGACGATCTATTAAAGTTCGAGTGTTAATTTATTCCTCAAAAGTCCTATGAATGATATAGAAGGTTATCTCGAAAACCAAAAGCTGATTGTAGTCCGGCCGCTCAGTTCATTTGAAGAATAAATATCTTTTTTAGAAAGCTAACTATGACTCATTCATAAATCTAAGTCATTTGAACGCTCCACAAAGGGAAGAGATGCCAAAGACAATTAAT